CGTGGGCCGTGTGTTGCAGGGCTGGGCTTCGGCCTGGTGTACCTGCCGGCGATCGTGTCGGTGACGTGCTACTTCGAGCGGCTGCGCTCGTTGGCGACCGGCATCGCCGTGTGCGGCTCGGGCCTGGGCACCTTCCTGCTGGCGCCCGTCACCCGCTGGCTGGTGGACGGCCTGGGCTGGCGGCACGCGCTGCTCTGCGTCGCCGCCATGGTGCTGTCGTGCGCGGCCTTCGGCGCGCTTTTCCGCCCCCTGCCCGGCACCGCGGGCCACGCGAGCGCCGCCCACCACGGCCACGCGCCCGGCGAGCGCGGGAAGGTGGGTGGAGCACTCACCAGTTCTCGAAATACCCATTACTCAACGCGTTGCTCAGGAATTTTTCAACACACTGCTCAACATTGTGCTAAAAAACAATCCTTTGCTCAACATATTGCTCAACACTTTCTCAACATTTAGATAAAGTTTCTCAACCATTGCTTAAGACACTGATAAATATATTGCTCAACACATTGCTCAGCGTATCTCAAACCATTGCGTACCGCAATGATTCGCATGGCCACGATTCCCGGAGAGTGCGGGAAGGTGGGTGGAGCACTGACCAGTTCTCAAAATGCACTGCTCAACGCATTGCTCAGAAATTTTTCTACACACTGCTCAACATCGTGCTCAAGAAACCCCATAACCCTTTGCTCAATATATTGCTTAACACCTCAACATTTTGATCAACAGGTTGCTCAACACACTGGTAAATATATTGCTCAGCCTGCCTCAAACCATTGCATAACGCAATGATTCGCATAGCCAAGCTTATGGGCGAGGGAACCGCGTATCACTGCCCAGTTCTCAAAATGCACACTGCTCAACGCATTGCTCAGAAAAATATCTCAACACACTGTTCAAAATCGTGCTCAAGAAACCCCATAACTCTTTGCTCAAGATATTGCTCAACACCTTCTCAACACTTTGATCAACAGGTTGCTCAAGAATTGCTCAACACACTGGTAAATATATTGCTCAACACATTGCTTAGCCTATCTCAAAATATTGTGCAACGCAATGCTTCGCATAGCCACGCTTCCCGGCGCGCGCGGGAAGATAGGTGGACGCCACGAATGAGGGGAATGCATATCACTGACCAGTTCACAAAATACCCATTACTCAACGCGTTGCTCAGAAATTTCTCAACACATTGCTCAACAGATTGCTCAAGGGACCCATAACCCTTTGCTCAATATATTGCTCAACAAGTACTCAACCCTTTTCCAACATTTAGATCAACATGTTTCTCAACGTCGTCA